CTAGTTCAGTTCTAGTTCAGTTCTAGTTCAGTTCTAGTTCAGTTCTAGTTCAGTTCTAGTTCAGTTATAGTCAGTTCTAGTTCAGTTCTAGTTCAGTTTCTAGTTCAGTTCTAGTTCAGTTCTAGTTCAGTTCTAGTTCAGTTCTAGTTCAGTTCTAGTTCAGTTCTAGTTCAGTTCTAGTTCAGTTCTAGTTCAGTTCTAGTTCAGTTCTAGTTCAGTTCTAGTTCAGTTCTAGTTCAGTTTCTAGTTCAGTTCTAGTCTAGTTCAGTTCTAGTTCAGTTCTAGTTCAGTTCTAGTTCAGTTCTAGTTTCAGTTCTAGTTCAGTTCTAGTTCAGTTCTAGTTCAGTTCTAGTTCAGTTCTAGTTCAGTTCTAGTTCAGTTCTAGTTCAGTTTCTAGTTCAGTTCTAGTTCAGTTCTAGTTCAGTTCTAGTTCAGTTCTAGTTCAGTTCAGTTCAGTTCTAGTTCAGTTCTAGTTCAGTTCTAGTTCAGTTCTAGTTCAGTTAGTTCAGTTCTAGTTCAGTTCTAGTTCAGTTCTAGTTCAGTTTTTCAGTTTATAGTTCAGTTCTAGTTCAGTTCTAGTTCAGTTCTAGTTCAGTTCTAGTTCGTTCTAGTTCAGTTCTAGTCAGTTCTAGTTCAGTTCTAGTTCAGTTCTAGTTCAGTTCTAGTTCAGTTCTAGTTCAGTTCTAGTTCAGTTCTAGTTCAGTTCTAGTTCAGTTCTAGTTCAGTTCTAGTTCAGTTCTAGTTCAGTTCTAGTTCAGTTCTAGTTCAGTTCTAGTTCAGTTCTAGTTCAGTCTAGTTCAGTTAGTTCAGTTCTAGTTCAGTTCTAGTTCAGTTCTAGTTCAGTTCTAGTTCAGTTCTAGTTCAGTTCAGTTCAGTTCTAGTTCAGTTCTAGTTCAGTTCTAGTTCAGTTCTAGCAGTTTCAGTTCAGTTCTAGTTCAGTTCTAGTTCAGTTCTAGTTCAGTTCTAGTTCAGTTCTAGTTCAGTTCTAGTTCAGTTCTAGTTCAGTTATAGTTTCAGTTCTAGTTCAGTTATAGTTCAGTTCTAGTCAGTTCTAGTTCAGTCTAGTTCAGTTCTAGTTCAGTTCTAGTTCAGTTCTAGTTCAGTTCTAGTTCAGTTCTAGTTCAGTTCTAGTTCAGTTCTAGTTCAGTTCTAGTTCAGTTCTAGTTCAGTTCTAGTTCAGTTCTAGTTCAGTTCTAGTTCAGTTCTAGTTCAGTTCTAGTTCAGTTCTAGTTCAGTTCTAGTTCAGTTCTAGTTCAGTTCTAGTTCAGTTCTAGTTCAGTTCTAGTTCAGTTCTAGTTCAGTTCTAGTTCAGTTCTAGTTCAGTTCTAGTTCAGTTCTAGTTCAGTTCTAGTTCAGTTCTAGTTCAGTTCTAGTTCAGTTCTAGTTCAGTTCTAGTTCAGTTCTAGTTCAGTTCTAGTTCAGTTCTAGTTCAGTTCTAGTCAGTTCTAGTTCAGTTCTAGTTCAGTTCTAGTTCAGTTCTAGTTCAGTTCTAGTTCAGTTCTAGTTCAGTTCTAGTTCAGTTCTAGTTCAGTTCTAGTCAGTTCTAGTTCAGTTCTAGTTCAGTTCTAGTTCAGTTCTAGTTCAGTTCTAGTCAGTTCTAGTTCAGTTCTAGTTCAGTTCTAGTTCAGTTCTAGTTCAGTTCTAGTTCAGTTCTAGTTCAGTTCTAGTTCAGTCTAGTTCAGTTTAGTTCAGTTCTAGTTCAGTTCTAGTTCAGTTCTAGTTCAGTTCTAGTTCAGTTCTAGTTCAGTTCTAGTTCAGTTCTAGTTCAGTTCTAGTTCAGTTCTAGTTCAGTTCTAGTTCAGTTCTAGTTCAGTTCTAGTTCAGTTCTAGTTCAGTTCTAGTTCAGTCTAGTTCAGTTCTAGTTCAGTTCTAGTTCAGTTCTAGTTCAGTTCTAGTTCAGTTAGTTCAGTTCTAGTTCAGTTCTAGTTCAGTTCTAGTTCAGTTCTAGTTCAGTTCTAGTTCAGTTCTAGTTCAGTTCTAGTTCAGTTCTAGTTCAGTTCTAGTTCAGTTCTAGTTCAGTTCTAGTTCAGTTCTAGTTCAGTTCTAGTTCAGTTCTAGTTCAGTTCTAGTTCAGTTCTAGTTAGTTCTAGTTCAGTTTAGTTCAGTTCTAGTTCAGTTCTAGTTCAGTTAGTTCAGTTCTAGTTCAGTTCTAGTTCAGTTCTAGTTCAGTTCTAGTTCAGTTCTAGTTCAGTTCTAGTTCAGTTCTAGTTCAGTTCTAGTTCAGTTCTAGTTCAGTTCTAGTTCAGTTCTAGTTCAGTTCTAGTTCAGTTCTAGTTCAGTTCTAGTTCAGTTCTATCAGTTCTAGTTCAGTTCTAGTTCAGTTCTAGTTCAGTTCTAGTTCAGTTCTAGTTCAGTTCTAGTTCAGTTCTAGTTCAGTTCTAGTTCAGTTCTAGTTCAGTTCTAGTTCAGTTCTAGTTCAGTTCTAGTTCAGTTCTAGTTCAGTTCTAGTTCAGTTATAGTTCAGTTCTAGTTCAGTTCTAGTTCAGTTCTAGTTCAGTTCTAGTTCAGTTTCTAGTTCAGTTCTAGTTCAGTTCTAGTTCAGTTCTAGTTCAGTTCTAGTTCAGTTCTAGTTCAGTTCTAGTTCAGTTCTAGTTCAGTTCTAGTTCAGTTCTAGTTCAGTTCTAGTTCAGTTCTAGTTCAGTTCTAGTTCAGTTCTAGTTCAGTTCTAGTTCAGTTCTAGTTCAGTTTCTAGTTCAGTTCTAGTTCAGTTCTAGTTCAGTTCTAGTTCAGTTCTAGTTCAGTTCTAGTTCAGTTCTAGTTCAGTTCTAGTTCAGTTCTAGTTCAGTTCTAGTTCAGTTCTAGTTTCAGTTCTAGTTCAGTTCTAGTCAGTTCTAGTTCAGTTCTAGTTCAGTTCTAGTTCAGTTCTAGTTCAGTTCTAGTTCAGTTCTAGTTCAGTTCTAGTTCAGTTCTAGTTCAGTTCTAGTTCAGTTCTAGTTCAGTTCTAGTTCAGTTCTAGTTCAGTCTAGTTCAGTTCTAGTTCAGTTCTAGTTCAGTTCTAGTTCAGTTTCTAGTTCAGTTCTAGTTCAGTTCTAGTTCAGTTCTAGTTCAGTTCTAGTTCAGTTCTAGTTCAGTTCTAGTTCAGTTCTAGTTTTCACTAGTTCAGTTCTAGTTCAGTTCTAGTTCAGTTCTAGTTCAGTTCTAGTTCAGTTCTAGTTCAGTTCTAGTTCAGTTCTAGTTCAGTTCTAGTTCAGTTCTAGTTCAGTTCTAGTTCAGTTCTAGTTCAGTTCTAGTTCAGTTCTAGTTCAGTTCTAGTTCTAGCTCAGTTCTAGTTCTAGTTCAGTTGATTTTATTTTTCAACATACATAAATTTTTTGCCCAATATTGTCTTTCTAACTCCATCAATTATTAGTTTCTTCCAAAAGAACTTTTTCTTTCTTCGTTACTCCAATAATATTATTTAGTTTAAACTTTAGGAACATATTACTTTGTTCATTTTGTATTTCATTCTACAAAACGTAAATTAAATTAATTTATTTTTTAAGATCTATATATTTTAGCTCCCATAATGCTTCTTTAGCGTTTATTGAATTTTATAAAAGAAATTGAAAAAAGAAATAACAATTTTGGTACTTAAAGACAAACAAAATTGTATACTAAAGCAAATCTTTGGTAAAATTCTTCTTTAAGTTTTAACAGTTAGGTTTAGTTTTTTGCAATTTTTTTATAAATTTATTTTTCTCAGCAAAACAATTTTGTAGTCTTTCTCTTGAGCTGTTCCTTGAACTGCTATGGCCATGGTGGGAAAGAATACGAAAATCCTTTATTTTATTTTGACATTTTTCAAACTCTTCTTGTCAATAACTGTGCAATAGCCGTAAAGTTTTCATTTATTTTTTTTTTTGCTTGTGTGTTGACGTGGTGTGAATAATTTTTTTTTATAGTTTTTTTTTTTTTTTAATGGCAGCTGAACTAAAATATCTTAAGAAATTCTTTTTCATTATAAAGGATTCCTCATAGTATTTTAAAGCAGTTAGATAAGGTCAACATGAAGGCATCTTTGAAATAATGAAATGTTTAACAGAGATAATGAGAATATTGGAATATTTATAGAATTTAAATTAAAAGATTTAATAAAATATGTAAAAACTTAAATTTTTTAATAAAATAAATAAATATTTATCATGCGACAACTGATTTAATTTTTGATTTCTTTGTAGATAAGCCCATCTGTCGTCCCGACCAAAAGAAAATCTATGGTGTGGCTCGCAATGAAGCGGCAGAAATTCTATGTGAAGTTGATGCCTTTCCTCCACCCGAAAATTTTAAATGGTCATTTAATAATACAGCCGAAACATTTGACATGCCACAAAGTGGTTTTCGAGCACATTCAGCACAAGGTTCAACATTGACATACACTCCGGTCAAGGTATGTATTAAAATAAATAAAAAAAAAAAACACAAACATTTTTTCTATATTAGAAAAATAAAGAACGAAATCAAACAAATAAATTATGAATTTCAAACTAGGGGCATGATTATAGTAATTAGAGCAAACGAACAAAAGAGACACAAGTATACAAAATATAAATTTATAAATATATATTTTTTTTTTGTTCTATTACAAATAACCGTTATTAATATCAAAGACCAGAAAATAAGCAAAATTTTTCTGAACAATTTACAAGGATATAAAATGCCAAGGATGATTTTAAGCAGAAAAAGGAATTAAAACGAAAATGATAATTTTCGTTGAAATATAGCAAATTAAAATGAATATGGCCTTTAAATATTGTATTTAAATATTAAGCATTTATATTGTCCTTTAATTGATACATTTGAAAGGTCATTTGATTTGCTTTTATTGTGGGTGGAAAAGTGCTAGAAATTACTATATATAATTATAACTTCGCACAATTTGTTGGCACCATCAGATGGCATAAACTTTGTTAATAGAATTTTGAAAAAAATAAACAATAATAAATTATTAAAAATATATTAACAGACATTTAAGTGTATATAGCTAAGTGGTCTTTAAAAATGCACTTAGTAAATCTATACCTACAATGACTGATAATTGTACGATAGAAGAAAACTGAAGCAAGATTAGAACTGGAGCAGCACTAGAACAGAACTAGAACAGAGCTAGAAACAGAACTAGAACAGAACTAGAACAGAACTAGAACAGAACTAGAACAGAACTAGAACAGAAACTAGAACAGAACTAGAACAGAACTAGAACAGAACTAGAACAGAACTAGAACAGAACTAGAACAGAACTAGAACAGAACTAGAACAGAACTAGAACAGAACTAGAACAGAACTAGAAACAGAACTAGAACAGAACTAGAACAGAACTAGAACAGAACTAGAACAGAACTAGAACAGAACTAGAACAGAACTAGAACAGAACTAGAACAGAACTAGAACAGAACTAGAACAGAACTAGAACAGAACTAGAACAGAACTAGAACAGAACTAGAACAGAACTAGAACAGAACTAAGAACAGAACTAGAACAGAACTAGAACAGAACTAGAACAGAACTAGAACAGAACTAGAACAGAACTAGAACAGAACTAGAACAGAACTAGAACAGAACTAGAACAGAACTAGAACAGAACTAGAACAGAACTAGAACAGAACTAGAACAGAACTAGAACAGAACTAGAACAGAACTAGAACAGAACTAGAACAGAACTAGAACAGAACTAGAACAGAACTAGAACAGAACTAGAACAGAACTAGAACAGAACTAGAACAGAACTAGAACAGAACTAGAACAGAACTAGAACAGAACTAGAACAGAACTAGAACAGAACTAGAACAGAACTAGAACAGAACTAGAACAGAACTAGAACAGAACTAGAACAGAACTAGAACAGAACTAGAACAGAACTAGAACAGAACTAGAACAGAACTAGAACAGAAAACTAGAACAGAACTAGAACAAACTAGAACAGAACTAAACGAATAGAACAGAACCTAGAACAGAACTAGAAACAGAACTAGAACAGAACTAGAACAGAACTAGAACAGAAACTAGAAACAGAACTAGAACAGAACTAGAACAGAACTAGAACAGAACTAGAACAGAACTGGAACCGAAACAGAACAGACTAGAACAGAACTAGAACAGAACTAGAACAGAACTAGAACAGAACTAGAACAGACTAGAACAGAACTAGAACAGAACTAGAACAGAACTAGAACAGACCTAGAACAGAACTAGAACAGAACTAGAACAGAACTAGAAACAGAACTAGAACAGAACTAGACAGAACTAGAGCAGAACTAGAACAGAACTAGAACCAGAACTAGAACTAGAACAGAACTAGACAGAAATAGACAGAACTAGAACAGAACTAGAACAGAACTAGAACGAATAGAACAGAACTAGAACAGAACTAGAAAACAGAACTAGAACAGAAACTAGAACAGAACTAGAACAGAACTAGAACAGAACTAGAACAGAACTAGAACAGAACTAGAACAGAACTAGAACAGAACTAGAACAGAAACTAGAACAGAACTAGAAAGAACTAGAGCGAACTAGAACAGAACTAGAACAAAACTAGAACAAGAACAAGAACAGAACTGGAACAGAACTATTACCACAGTACTAGAACGCAAATAGAACTACAACAATCGAGATCAGTATCATTAATATTTGAAAAAAAAAATTTAACTTTTACCAAATGTCAACGCACTGCAACGCAAATAAACCAAATATATGTAGATAAGTTTATAATTTTTGTATAAAAGTCTAAGTAATCTGGCCAATTAATCAGCACACCTTACCGCTGTATAAATTATTTAACATTCAACACTGACACGACTTAAATTTATTGTTGTTGCTGCTCTGGCTACAATAATTCATCAATCGACTTTTGATATTCGATAAAATCTTGTCAGTGGCTAATGTCTGTTGGGTGCTTAATATGTATGTATAAACAGTGATTGGACACTAGTAGGTAAATACCGCTAGTACAGAATTTTAGTCTCTGAAAAACACCTTGTCTGGCATTAATATTTAAATATATATTTTTTTTTTCGTTGTCAAAGGTAAATAGACAAAAATCTGATATATTAATATTTAACCCAATATTGTCAGGTAAAGGTATAGATATTCTTTATATTGCCACCAGCGAAAGAAAATGGGGTTTTTGCATGTATTGATTTTATCATTCTGTTGTATAGCGTAATAGGTATTGTACATTGAACCACAAAATATTGTATTTACCTTAATTATTTGCACCCACTCACATTTTTCGTAGATTTTTTGCAAAGATATGAGTATATGTTTTGAAAAGGTTTGGTGACCAGACTTGACTTTTATTACAATTTTGCCATGTAATTATATGATTGAAAGGTTTAGTGGGGGAAAAAGTTTAACATGCTTTAAGCCTTAATGGAAGCGGTTTTACCGAAGAAGAATTTTTGTAAAAACAATAAAATGTTAGAGAATTACATTTAAATAAATTAGGTCAAATTCACTTTAAGAAATATTATTAAATAATCTCCAGAATATTCGTTCAAATTTTATTTTAATACTACGATCAGCACTACCTAGAATTTTAAAAGGGCTTTTCAGATATCCCTAGTATTCTAAAACTTTATCAGCTTTACAAGCACAACAAGAACTTAAATAAACTGGGTCAGAAAACAATAAAAACAAACCTAAAGCCTGGAATAAACAACAAGTACCTACAGCATGAATATAACAGAAAAAAAACAACGAAAAACCCATTTTGACTTGACAGTTGTTGTATGCGATTACCGCGATTTAGGTGGATATTTGAGTACAACAAGCAAACGAATACGAGCAACAGCTTTAGCCAAAAAAAAGTAATAAAAATACTAATACAACAACAACTACTACTACTTTTAGTAGTAGTAAAAGTAGTAGCTGTTGTTTGCGAAAAGTACTTACTGGCCATAGTACTTATGGCAAAAATTACACATACACCAACAATACAAATATACACAAATTTTAGCGAAAAGTATACATGCATACATACTCTCAATCCCACGCGCACACAAACCAACAACTACAAAAACAAACAAAAAATTGTTGAAAGAAAAAACTACTAACACTTTTACGACCACAACAAATGCTAAAATTACTCCACATACACATTCCTATACATACATATGTATGTATATGCATATGTATATATGCATGAGTTATATTGTTATATTATGTATGTTCGCCTATGTATATGAACATTTACAACTATAACCAACAAAACCAACATACCCAACTCCTCCACTACTATTACAACTAGTCCTATGTACATATGTATTATAGTGAAAGTACTATTGCAACTGTTTCTCTTTGTTTTGTGTCAGCTAATATTAAAAAGTTTTGTTGAATCATGTTATGTTATTGCTGTTGTTTTAGCGTTTTGTTGTTGCTGTTGTTATTACTACTGCCCGACTTAATGTTACTTTATATGTTACACTATTTCCAATATGTTGTTTTATTTTTTTGTTTGGTTTTTATATCTAATATAAAATTTTATAGCAATTTAATTAGAGAAAAGTATGGAAAATATTAAGGAAACAGAAAAGAAAAGTTATTTTTTTTAAACAGCTATAAAATTTATAAAAACTATATAAAACTATAATTAGTTTTGACATGCATGTTACAACTTGAAAAACTTACTTAATATCGTTATTATATAGTAGTAAAATTATTTTGTATAGAAATAGCAACGCTCTCAAAATATTTGAATATATTTTCTTTAAAAGCCTAGCAAGGATAGTGAAAGTGCTCCAGCGTTACCATATCCTCTTCGAATGCTTTATATTTGTCTGCTACCTATGTATGTATCAACTAAGTATACATAGAATCATAATAACCTCATACTTTCTATGAAGTCTCGTCATGACTTTATGGTCCCTTTTTGTACTTTAACCAAAAAGCTTTTTAGGAAAAATTAAGTATTTTAGCAAAAAGTAGCTCTTTGCAAAGTAATATACTTCACAAAATTGAAGTCTACAAAAAAGGATTTAAAAAAATCACTTAACTTTTTTACAAAAAAAAAAAAAAAAATAAATAAATAAAAAATATTTCGCGAAGATAAATAAAGCTTTTTAACAAAAAGAAGCTTTTTTTGAAAAATTATATATTTCACTAAAAGTAGCTCTTTCCAATGTATGTTCTTCGCAAAATTGAAGTCTACAAAGGAAGCTTTTTCTCCAAAAAATATTTCACTAATCCAAAAAAATAAAGACATTTTAACAAAAATAAATTATTTCGAGAGACTTATTCACAAATAAAGCTTTTTAACAAAGCTTTTAAGAAAATTTAGCTTTTTACCAAAAACAAGCCTTTTAACGAAATAAGCTTTTTAACAAAAATAAGCTTTTTTAACATAAAGAAGCCTTTTAACAAAAATAAGCTTTTTAAGAAAAATAAGCTTTT